TTCGTTGTACCGAATAAGAAGGATTTACGATCGTTACAAATGGTCAATACTTGTGACACTAAAGGTCGGAAAGATGTCTGCGTTCTCCTCTGTTTTTTTTTTTTTTTTTTTTTCTTTTAATTTATTGCATGTAATCGTAATAGAGGCGATTGTAATATCTCGAGTAGACAGCGAAGCCTCGCCGCAAGAAGCCGATTAAAGTTTTTACGTTTCGTCTACGGCTCAACGATGATTAATAGAAACAGAGATACTCTAGCGGATTAATTGCGTGTCGCCGATACGTGCGGTAGTCATTTTTGTGCTGCTCGATTTTTCACGCTTCATTAACCGAGATAACAAGAACATGATGTATTTCTACATATTTCTTTTTGCCGCATTAATGGAGAATTAGAAATCGAAACGGGAGAAAACAATATTTTCTTCATACTACGGGGAGAAAGAATGAAACTTGCCAGGGGGGAAACAGTGTTTCAATCGTGTATTCGTACCGCTTGGTACTCTGTCATTTGCCGTTGCGTCACGGTTGGCGCATTCCTGTCGACGCATTAACATATCGAAATATTTTGTAACTCGATGAATCTCGGAAACCTGGTGTTTTCTCACAACAGATAAATCAACGACTAATATCGCAGTGTGTTGATCGATGGAAACAGTGTCTTGGTTAGTACTGTTGTTCAAGGCGAGAACTGAAGCTGTGAATATTCCAGTGATTAGACAGTCGTGTTATATGTAATAAAATAACTTTCAGAAACTTTGTTGTTTCGAGAAGGGGATGATCCATTAAGAGATAAAGTCATTCAAGTTTCTGAATCGAACAGTGTGTGACATGGAGTGACTATCGTCAATATTCGGGATTTATTTTGTACCTTTTGTATCAGGGTTAATTAATTTTATTTAATAATTTTAATTGTCTCGATCAATAAATGATCTATATATATATATATATATATATATAATTTTTTTCTATTATCTTTTTGTAATATACTGTATTATATAGATAGTACATTATATAGTATTAGATATATTAGTGTAGTATATTATTCTTTTGTAGTATATAGATAGTATATTAGGTATAGTATAGTATATTAGTATTAATATAGTATATATTATACTGTAGCATATTAGTATCAGGTATAGTATATTAGTATATTAGATATAGTATAGTATAGTATTTTATAGTATATAGTATTATATTACAGTATATTATAGTATATAGTATAAAGTATCATAGTATTACATTATAGTATATAGTATTATAGTATATTATAGTACATAGTATATAGTATTATAGTATATTATAGTACATAGTATATAATATTATAGTATATTATAGTACATAGTATATAGTATTATAGTATATTATAGTACATAGTATTATAATATTATAGTATTACAGTATATTAGTATATCATATAATATTAAATACATTAGTATAGTACTTGGTTTAGTATATTATACTATTATCTATGTGATATTATGCATAGATAATAGTACATTATTTTTGTATTAGATAGATAGATAGTACATTATCTTTTTGTAGTATATTATATTATATAGATAGTATATTAGGTATAGTATAGTATATTAGTACATTATATAGTATTAGATATATTAGTACTTGATATAGTACAACTCCAAATGAATACGTCCGTTATAATTATCAGCAAATTACAAAAAGGGGAAATCCCAAAAAGAGCCGTTTTAACTACGATGTCTCCCCAGAAAGAACAGTCGAATGCAAAACTCTTAATACTCTTCGCCACAATGAACCCATGGCCCACATAAGATGGCAACTGCGCCAGAACGCGACCTCGAGCACATGAATTCCATTTCTTCGACACGACCCTTACCTGCGTAGTCGACGAGTTATGGTTTCTCTCACAAGAGGAAACGAGAGGATTTGCGTGTCGACGCCAGCAGCTCGCTCGCGTGTGGTTGTTTTAATGGTAATTAGCACCCTGCGCGCGGTGTACAACAGTGATCGAGGATGGTAATAAGCGGAGGAAGGAGTCGTGCGAGTCGCAGGTATCCGCGATTTCCTTTGCTCGGCCGCCTTTGCCCACTTTTTCCCTCTTTTGCTTTTCCTTTCTCTCTGCTACGACTTTTCGAGTCAAGTCCGCCACGAGGGTCAATAACATTCCGTCCTTTCGACTGGCGACTCCGCTATTGTCTCGACCGCATTTCTCGGCGCCATCGGTTGAAACCGATGTTCGCCGATTACGTGAACGCGCGTACAATTAACGCTGCGACTGCACCTTTGGCAATCGGGCAACGTTCGATTACACGCTCGCGATCCACGGGCATTTTTCAATGCGTTGCGCAACGCCTCGGATAGTTCTACTTTCAGTCGAGGTTGATGTTCCTCTACTACTGCACAATTCAACGCAGGCACATATATCGAGGCCTTGGCTGTTTGACGACCAAGCACAGTCGAAGAAATGGAATTTCAACGACCATTTGTTCCAGCCTTTGTAATTTCACGGAGGAGAAGTTGACTTTGAAAATGTATCTTTGGATCAGGGTTTCTCAAAGTGTGGATAATTTGCTGATAATTATAACGAATATATTTGGTGTTGTACGGTATAATAATACATAGATAATAGTATAATACACTGTACCACAGTAACTATACTAATATACCTAATATACCTAATATACTATTTATACCAATACATTTAATACTATATAATATAGTAATATATCTACACTAATATACTATACCTAATATTTTATCTATACTAATACATCTAATACTGTATAACAATACATAGGTAATAGTATAATACACTGTACCGAGTACTATACTAGTTACCTACTGTACTATCTATGCTATACCTAATATACTATCTATACTAATACATTTAATAATATATAATATAGTAATATATCTACACTAATATACTATACCTAATATATTATCTATACTAATACATCTAATACTGTATAATAATACATAGATAATAGTATAATACACTGTACCAAGTACTGTACTAATTACCTACTATACTATCTATACCTAATATACTATCTATACTAATAATACCATTTAATACTATATAATATAGTAATATATCTACACTAATATACTATACCTAATATATTATCTATACTAATGCATCTAATACTATATAATATATTAATATATCTATGCTAATATACTATCTACATAATACAATATACTACAAAAAAATAATATATTTTATACTATTATTACTAATATATACTATTTTACTTTAACTATAATATACTATTTTACAAAATGCATTTTGTTCGGCCTTGCCGAACACAAAGGAGGCGGGGTTCGCACCGCGAAGGACAAACTCATCGAGCCAGGGAAAACAATTTTACAATTTCTAATTTTTTTGCATCTTCTATTGTAGTCACACCGGACTACCAATTCCAAGGTTCGTCATGCTCGACACTCAATTTTAAGGCTCGATGAAGGACTTTATCGGAATTTTTTTACAACATTCATAAATTCAAATTCATAAATCCATATTGCGAGGGACACATCCTGGGATCGTTAGGAAGTGCAGATATCACGTTCTGGGACTGACCACACTCACATCTGCAAGCAACTAACATACCTCCCTAAACCATAGAATCCAGCTATATAAGACCAACGTACAAGAAAAAAAAAAGTTAACACAGGTTTTTTGAAAATTTTCTCCTGCAATACGAACAAACACAGAAAATAAACAACCAACCCGCTCAAGATACCATTGAATTAAAACCTAACTAACATTATTAAATGCAGGTACAGGGATCCAAGGAAACCCTAGGGACTGCAAGTAGGAAATAACCAGCTAACAATCATAAAAAAAAAAGTCAGTCAAGTTTTGACAATCGCGTAGTGCACATACAAGTTTCGGAGCAACCCATCGACGTACGACAGGTCAAGGTTCGACTATCAAATTCACTCAAATTTTATCGATCTTCCTCTTACAACTTACATTTCTCAATCCTACCAAACTAACTGTGAAACAATTCTATCTTGTGAATCAGCTGACTTTCATTAACGTTGAAACACAGCAAGCCACCGATCTGCTTCACGCTATTTATACGTCGAAGTCAGATCGGCACGCTACACATTTGGAAAGTAGAGGCTACTTTAAACTTTAATAAGTCTAGGTTTATACGATTTCTCTCTATAAAACTACAATAATTTCAATATTTAAGTACTAACGAAATCCAAATGTTTATCAATATCTAATTATTAATGGTATCCAAATGTTAATAAAAGTCATTGTATATTTTGAGCATTGAAATTTCGCTTATAAAAATATTAGTCTTTCATGATCATTGTTTAATCGTTGTTGCTTCTTTGAATGATCGAAGGTTCGTGCATTTAAGAAGTTTGAAAGGTATAGTTATCAGTGCAGGATATCTGCAAAAAAGGAATTGATTAATTAACGTTTCCTTGCCTCTTGATACGCGTCAAGGACATCTAAGAAGTTATTCAGTATCAAGCTCGTTCTCATCTCTACGTTTCCATCGTTTATTTTACGCGAATGACAACACTACTGGATGTTAATCGTCAATTTCTTTTTTAACGTTGCAAATGATAAAACACTCGGCTGCTTGAAAACACGTCGCGAGATAATACCGATCTGCTCTAATCCGCGACGATTGTTATATTTTCTCAAAGACATTATACTCGAGCAAATGATTTTCGGTTTCGATTAGCTTAAGAAGAACAAAGATAAACGAAGTCGCTCGCTCTTTTTCTTTGCAAATTTTTGATCGATAGACGTCGAGGATTTGAAAAGAACGATGATCGATTTTCGTTGTATTGTATTATTGTAATCGATCATTGACTAAGCTGTTCAAAGATATTTCGCGAAATATCAATTTCGACAATGACTGAGTACGATTTATCAACGAATTTGGCAAACGTATAATACTCGCTTGCGAGAGAGTCGATGTTACTCTCGGAAACCACGTCGAGGGAATTTCTAAACGCACAAATTTTCAAATCATCCATCGTTCGTATGTTGCAGATAAGCGCACATTAGCGAAAATAAAACGTGATCGAATCGCACAGAAACGAAATAGCTGCGCAACCAGGCAGTGATATGAAGAATACGCAAAACAACAGTTATGGTACGTCAGTTTATTTTGTACATACAACATTTAATCGAATTTCATTCGTAAACAGTCGTGGGATCAAATGAACGATTCGCACTCCAGAAACATTCTTTTTGTTCTGTGGATCACACTGAGAGAGTGAGAATCTTAAAATAATTATTAATTTAAATTACTATATTAAATTAAATATTATATATAAATATAAATATTATATAATATTATATAATATTATATAATATAATTATTATATAATAAATTAAATATTATATATAAATATAAATATTATATAATATTATATAATATAATTATTATATAATAATTTAAATATTATATATAAATATAAATATTATAGAATATTATATAATATAATATAATACAATTGTTATGTAATAATTTAAATATTACATATAAATATTATTACATACAAATATAAATATTATACAATATAATATAATACAATTATTATGTAATAATTTAAATATTATATATAAATATAAATAATATTTAATATAATATAATACAATTATTATATAATCATTTAAGTATTATATAGAAATATTATTACATATAAATGTAAATATTGTATAATATTATATAATATAATTATTATATAATAATTTAAATATTGTATATAAATATTATTACATATAAATATAAATATTATACAATATTATATAATTTAATTATATTGAATATTATGTAATATTTTAAATTATTGAACTCTTCTTTTTATGGTGATTTTCCTTTTTTCGTAAAATATTACGGGCAACTACGAGGTCACACATTTCTCGCACCTCCATGCTGACGATGTCACTGTTCACACTCGTGTTTCGAACTGAACACCACTGCGAGTTGGACCAGAGACAATGAACTCTCAAATGGACACCGTTTTGAGAGTTCTGTCGGAGAGTGAAAATTCTGAAAGCTGCTCTCAAATGGACACAATCGCTTGAGCCGTAATTCTCAAATGGAGTTAGCGAGGCTTTACTCTGCTTCTTCGTTTCGAATCTCTCTCCCCGTTAAGGAATCCACTCGTCGCGAAGTAGGTTGACTTTGCAATTCTATTAGGTCAGCGCCAGGGACTGCGTGTCCTCGGGGCGCGAAAATTTATCGACAGCGAGAGACAATGACTTCATTAACGGGCCGATGCATTGTACGTACGTACAACGAGTACGTACGTACACATCTCGCATGAGAATCTCGTCGAAACGAATCGACGATAAAAGCCTGAAGGGAGCCTTTGATCTAGTAAGACGTTATGGCGATACGCCGCGACCTTTCCAGTCGCCAGAGAAGGTAGATAAATGGTTGCGTGCTCTGGAAACCGAAGGCTGATTTCCACTGTCTCGAGGCTGCCGGCACGTTTTACGGTTCCCGCGGGCTGTTTCTTTCTGCCTCTCGAAAAAGAAAACTGGTTCCCCTCAGTCACTTGCTATACTTAAACGGTTAATAAAGGTTGAAACGGTATGAGCGCATTATCGTGGAATCCTGCTCTCCTCTTTTACCGAGAAATCATTCTCGATCGCCAGCGCGACAATGTCACACACTGGAAAATATTCTCGATACTCACAACCGAGAATCCCATCGTATTCCCATTATCGTGGTTGTTATTAGTTATTGTTAGGTTTAGTAATTTCACTAGATTTCGTTTCTGAAAAATCGACCAATTGGACAGTCGTACTCGCGTGTTCGTGTTTTACGATGGGAAAATCGCGAAGCGGATTGGATCGGAACACGAAGATCGGAAGTTGCTTATCTTTTACTCGGCACTCTTACACGCGGCGATCTCCTGCGCACCACTTACGTTGAGAGTTTCTTGTCCCAAAGTTGGAAAATGTTTGGAGAGTTGGAAAAAGTTGGAAGGTATTTACTACGTCGAGAGTTTGTCCCAAGCACGTGTTTTTAAAATTTTTTACTATTTTATTTGGAAGTATAATTTAATGGACTTTTTTTCTGTAACCTACAAAAGAAGAAAATAGAAAAGATTGGAAAGAAATTGCATGTTATAGAAATCAATACCAAGAGAATTTCGGTATCAGTACCTAAACCTACCCTAAAATTAATACCATACATTAGAAAGAATATGCCAAAAGTCGCAGCAGAAACATTTAAAAAAGACTTGAAGTCCTTTTTACAAGCAATGGCATCTACGAGTCTCGACATATTCAAAAATATTTCTCAGCTGAAAATACATGTTCAGAGCTGACGGACGTATTATCAGTTGAAGATGGACGAGCCTGTTATTGGAAAATTAGTACTTTCGTGGAAAAATAAAAACACCCAATTTAAAATAATCACTCTATTATTTTATTATTTATTGCTGAAATAAAAATTACATCGAAAAACATTCGATTAATTCAGTAAAAGTACTTACACGTACTGAAAATCTGAAGGATTTGAAAAAGTCATAACTTGTTCATTTTCAATCTTTTTTTATCTTTTTATTTTGTTTTGTAGATTATAGAAAAAAATCCATTAATTATATTTTGAAACAAAATAAATAAAAAGTTAAGGAAACATGTGTTTGTAAAAGTTATTTTTGTTTTATATCATTCAGTCTTTCAGTGACCACCTTATATAACGTGTATACATATACATATGTAGTCTCATGTATTTCATTGATAATTTATGTATCCGTATACTTATTTCATAAGTAATAACTCTGGTTCACATTATCTTTATTACGAACTACACGCAATAAAACACGGAGATACGAAATTTCGAAATTGTGCCCTGGTTTTGGTCATTTGAAGTTTGAAAAAAAAAAAAAGAAAGTGACGCAGAAAAAATACCACAAATTAAACCCTCTTGCGTAATATGTAGGTTAAATTTGCAGGTTAAAAGAAAAAAACTCCAAATTTTGTCGCTCCGACGAATGGAATATTTCTAGTATAATTCTTGTATGTTGTGTACACAGATGTTTTAAGAATACCTTACTTTGTATTCCAGCGTTGCGTATAATAAATTCTACCATATTTCGTCTTACAGTTGAACAAATCGTCTTGTTCAATTTGTTTCGTCTCGTTAAAACTTGATTTTGCTTGTCTCGTTCGACGTGGCGAAACATGCAAAAACAAAACGAGCGATTTATACTAGCAGAACAAACGACAATTGGAAAGACTGCGTTTACTGAAACGTAACGAAGTATAAAATTTAATTCAACCACGTAAGTTAAATTCAGAAATGGAATATTTAAATACTTGTTCTTTAGCAATAATTCTGAAACACTGGCTAAACAATTGATTTCCTACTGAGTAATCAGATAATTGTGATTTTACACATTTTGTAACGTATTTGAATACCTCGAAGGCAAAGACAGATGAAGAAGGGAAATTTTCTGAGCGGAATATGCTTGTCCGAGTTCGACGACTTTGAGAATTTGATTTTATTGTAGAGATTCACTGAAAATCTTAAGAGGGCAATGTGACAGGCCTAAAAATTACGTATACTTTGGAGAATTAGTAAAACAAAATTGATGACATATTTGATTGACATGAGATTTTGTGATTTATTCTAACACATTATGAACTATAAAAAGCAACATTAAAAGAGAAAAAAGGAGGGCTCTTAACGGCATCCTTTTACATAATTTTTTTTTACATTGCCTATCGGTGTGCATGATTCCAGCCAAACAGGATTAGCTGCAACAAAAAGGCAGAAAAAGTTCAAAAGTAAACGATATTCTCTAGGGATTGACGATCCAACATTTTCATTTCTGTGAAAATTATGAAACTAGCAGCCATTTGTTTTTGATGTATCGAATATATGCGAAAAATTTCTACGTCTTTTGTTTATATTTTTCGAAACTGTTAAAAATTAGAAAATATTTAATACCTAGTAAATGTTACAATAAAGATACGTTTCACGGTAATCGGTTGGTTATATACCGAGATATCTTGCAAACCGTTTCTAAAAACCTAGTTTCGAGAAAAACGCGTTTGAAGTTTCAGAACGTCATTTATCACACGTATCCTTTACTTACTTTTTTTACTTATATATATCGCGGCTCACAGTTCTTACAATTCACAACTAAATTGAATCCATAGTCCCCTGATATTCGATTCACCAAAAGTAACATTTGAATCACACGATTTACACTTTATAATACTGCTGAAAGTTGCAAACAATGATACAAATTCAATTATTCTGTATCCGCGGATTTATTATTATACCCCCAAAATGAGTCGTTTCAAAGACCTTTTGTGTCTTTTCTACGATTTCAAGCTACTATTTCAAACAAAAAAAAAATCGATTTTTTTGAAAATTTCATACTGTCCTGACCCCTTAATTCAATGAGACACTGCAACACGCATGAGAAAAAGTCGCGTCTTAGATTCTGCAGTTCAGTCGTTGAATTGCATGAGTCATTTGGCCGGGGGAACTTTGCTCAATTTTATCCGGACGAAGTTCGTAGAAGGAAAGTTCAAGCGGGTCTGTTTCGCGGAGCAAACGAATAAATATTAATTGCAAGTTCATGTTGACGTTAGGCGACCGTACCGATACCAGACTGGTTTCGTAACGTTTCGAATAATATTCTTTGTTTCGCGGCAATCTGAAATCTGCGTTCGTATTGTGAAACGAATAGAAGTGACGTGAATTGATAATTAACGAATTAAAATTTATGATTTCGATTTGAACGAATTCAAAAGGCACGTTTGTGCACAAATAAAAAAAAAAGAAAGAAAAAAAAATAGAAAGAGACGAAGCGTAATGCAGTTAACTTACACAAACTTACAAAGTTGAAATTTGCACTTGTATTTTCATAAAAATGAGCGTTTTATAAACCGATAAGTCTAAATATAATGATTCCTCTGTTTCTCTTATCTTCCTCTTTGTTCGATACTTCAGCTCTTTTATTCTTACGAATTATGATGATGTCTCTTAAGTGCGTGAATGTGTTTCATTGCACATTTCATTGTTGCGATCGTTTCATTGCGGATCGATTCGTAAAATATAAAATTTGAATGAATTTGAATAAATCTTACCGTGTATCTGATGGTGCAAGGCATCACGTC